CACATTTCTGTAGTGTAATCTGAAGCAGTCTATCGACTTTCTTCCCACATTTGTGTAGTGTAAGCTGAAGCAGTCTATCGGCTTTCTTCCCACATTTCTGTAGTGTAATCTGAAGTAGTCTATCGACTTTCTTCCAACATTTCTGTAGTGTAATCTGAAGTAGTCTATCGGCTTTCTTCACACATTTCTGTAGTGTAAACTGAAGTAGTCTATCGACTTTCTTCCCACATTTCTGTAGTGTAATCTGAAGCAGTCTATCGACTTTCTTCCCACATTTCTGTAGTGTAAGCTGAAGCAGTCTATCGATTTCTCCCCACATTTCTATATAAAATAAAGCTGTTTGTACATTTGCCTCCTACGTTTACATAGTGTAAGCTAACCTGTGTTATAAAAATGGTTCAAAATTATGTCACGTGAAAAAGTAAAAAACACAGAGAAACGTGTACAATTTCACAGGTACGATATGCTAAAGTCATGGGTCTTGGAGGTGGCATGGTTTGGTCTATTGAAACTGATGATTTTACCGGAAAATGCCATACACAACGTTACCCTTTGTTGCAAGCTATTAATGAAGAATTTGCAGACCCTAGAATGGACTTACCTTTACCTCCTAAGAAGACTCCATCTTCAGGAATAGAGCAAGAAACTGAGTCAACTACAACATCAACGTCGTCTACAGTATCTTCATCAACAACCAGTAGCACGAGTCAGTCCCCCTCTACTGTAAAACCTGACAGCCAAACATCGCCAGAAGAGCCTGAAGTAGTGAAAATTCTTTGTACCAACGAAGGGTCCCATCCCCATCCCAAGAACTGTTCAAGGTTCATCCAGTGTACTAATGATGGCAAGAAATTCGTGGCGTATGAACTTACCTGTTCAACGAATACTGTCTTCAACCCTAAAACTGGCCTTTGCGATTGGCCAGATAACGTTCCAAACTGTTATGATTACTACTACTACCGGAAATACGCCCTCTACATACCATAACGCTTACAAAATATATAAATTTAGCTCAAAATTAACTTCTTTCTATAGATTCTGGTTACATTTTTATCCATAACTTCGCATATGTTGTTGTAGGAGACTCGGAGTGGCTATTCTCCCATAAATAATTCCAGCTAAAAAGTAGGCCTAATTTTATGTTTTTGTTTTGTTTTGTTAGTGGTCCACGATGGTGTTTTATTTGATACGATATTAATTTTCTCTTTACATGATAATACCATTGGAGAATTTTTTTTGTTTGCTTTTTTTTACATAAAGAAACTCACTGTTCAAGGAAAACCTCGAACTCCAAATCTTTGATGGCTTCAGCTATATTTCAATAATATATGTTTAGCTTTTTTCTATCTTTTCTCCTTGGTTGCCTCAGAAAGTTTGAATTGTTTTGATATCATTGATGCGCTGTTTTATGCTGATACTGAGCCTGTTACTGGTCTTTCATATTTGTGTAAATCTTGTTATGAAGTTTAATAAAATCTTTGGAGTTTTAGTCTATATTTTATTTTACCTTCTTAGTTCATATCTAAGAGTAAAGTAGTTACATTTGTTAAATGATTGTTAAACTTATTTGAAATCGAAAACACTTCTGAAGGTAAAATACCGTCCTGGACAAAATTACCCATCAACCTTTACGATGTTATGAGATACCCTATTCATCATTTACGTGTATTTGCTGAGAGTACCCGTTAAAGAAGCAAAAACTGTATAAAGGACAATATTAGATAATGTTCCCCTTCATTCTTTCTTTTGTATTAAATCCCTAATAATCTCATTAACTGCTGATTACTTACCCTGCTTTGTGAAAGGTAATAACTGACTCATTTAATTGATTAACATGGGCGCCCGCAGAAAGGGACAAGGGGTGGGTCACGTGACCCCCTGGATTTTAAAAAAAATTACTAGATATGTAAAATTATTCGTCTATGTTATTGGAAAATCATAAGGTATTTGTATTTCGATTTCATATTTTTTTCTAAACTTCAGTTACTTGCCCCCC